GCCACCTTATTGTGGTGGAGGGGTTTGAGTACCCGAGTGATCCTAGGACCTATGTTGTCGGGGGCTATATGTCCCTGGTAGGGTCTCCCAAGGCAAACAGGTCCTGGGTGACAGGTCAGACTAAGAGCAGTTCACAGACGACATTGTCCTGTTGGCCCCATCAAACCAGGACCTCCAGCGCGCACTGGGGCGGTTTGCAGAAATGTGTGAAGCAGCTGGGATGAGAATCACGCCGGCGCCAAGTACCTTAGGCGCTAACATCTGTTGATAAGGATGTCAGCAAACACGTCAGAGACTTGAAATGCCTCGATTTCAACTATAAATGACAACAGTAATGAGAAAACCTGGTGTTCATAGGAGGGTGGCTACGCACAAACCCGGAAGAACACAATATCAGTGATGTTTGAAGAATACAATGCCATCTTTGATCTAATGCCCACACATATGTACTTGCATAGAAGACTAATGAGTCATGTAAGACAATAAGTACGAACAAAATCAACGGAAAGTCTCATTCCTCTGAATAGAAGGTTAGGTGGAGGTGAACGGGGTCACAAATGTGCCAAGGTGTGACCTTTCTTGTGAGGAAAGAGGAATAGGTAACAATCTTTAAAAATATTCTCTCACCACTGAATGTTTTCACTAATTCTTCAACAATCGATCAATGTTTCAAGAAAGCCGAATGACAAAAAAACACCAAACAAAAAAAAAAAACGAAATGTCAGAAGAGAAACGTCATACAAAAAAAGCAAACGGAAAAGACCTCCAAAACGAGCAATGAAAAGTCTCGTTTCTCAGCGTCACTTGATTCTCTGCATGGCATTCCTTTCTAATTGTTTCAAATGGACATATTCTTTCTTTCTGCATACAAATGAACCCAACTAGACCTCTACAAGAGCAAACCATGAAAGACAGACATAAGAGGAGCGAATGACATGAAAAGCATCCATCCTAAAGCATGCATTGCTGCAGATAAAGACGTCAGCACCTACGTCAACCAATTCCACTTAGCAGTTGAATCTGGTGTACATGTGTCTTGGACATCCACTGGCATCATGTACACATACACACCACCGCTCATTCTTATCCATCACACAGTACCAAGCTCTCTTTTGTTGCATTTCTCTTTAGGGGTGGCATACAGCGTGGCACTTGAAGCTCAAGTGTGGGAATGTGCGTCATCTCTTGTGCAAAACGCTATTTAAAAAAAAAAAAAAAGGTGCAAATGGGAAAAACATTAAGGCAAACAATTTGTACAGGAGGAAGAAAAAGCAGGCAAAGAGAAAATACTAGGAGAGCAGACACAGAAGGTTAAAAGTAAATAGCAATAGTCAGGCACAAGGATCAAAATGACCTGTGTGAAAGTAGGAACAAACTTCAGGGGATGAGGAGCAAAAGTGGAATCAAACTATAATCCATTTAGTACAAAATGACACTAAAGATTTTTAACATTATATGACATTTCACTGTGGCAGCATCTCAAGGTCGTTTCTAGTTCAACATGTGCTGTGCAACTTCGCTGACAAACTTCAAGGTGATTTGAGGCATATGAGCGTAGAAACTGATCTGTTTGTTGACAGGTGGTTTAAACAGGTTCTTTATTGTGGGAAGGTCACAACAATTTGTGAAAAATCAGCATCCATGCCATTTTCTGAGAAGGAAATCTAGGCTTTGCATTGACAGTGTAGACTGAAGCTTTGAGGAACGTCTGAGTGGAAAAAGTGATCACTGCATGAAGAACATCGTTTTCCAAAATGTGCCACCAAAAGATGCATTGATCTGGAGAAACCAAGGTACATCTAACAGCTTGCGCTTGTTTTATCAGAAGTATTTACAAGCTGAGTGTTTTGCATCCATGTATATGATAGATTCCAAACCTCATGAAATGTTTTAATGATTTCTCTGCATCCGGACCGACGTAAAAACCTCTGATTAATAACCCAGGGACGATCTGTACTGCATTATACAGGGACATGTTTCTGTTATTTAGCCTACCCTCATTGATATACATAAGGTACAAGTATGGTATTCACTGCTAGTGAGAATCAACCTGAGCTGTACTTAAAAGTACAGGTGTATTATGTAAAAATGACCATCTGCATTAAATATATACCATAATAAATTACTCTGATAATGACTGGGGGCAAAGACATGACCGGCACATGCCTACAATTGATCACATTTTTGGCAAACGAACCCTGAGCTAGAAATAATGATGTCCAATGGCAATGAACTGTAAAGCGATATTTGGGACACACAGACACACACATACAGAGGGACTGACACAGCAACCCGTAACGGTCTATTTTCGTTTTCCCTGTGATGGTTGAATAGACCAACCCAGCACGTGCCCTCCACCACTCTCGCTGCATGCGCACATACACGCACCCACACATGTGTGTTCAGTAACTAGATACAGGTAATCAATCTTCTTCCACTTCACACGCCCAGAAATCTGCTTCCCATTAGTGTGTGCAAGTGTGTGTGAAAACTACCGAATACACAGCAGACGCTCTGAACCCGTCCTTTGCTAAAAGTGAATTAAAAAAAAAACGAAAAAAAAAAACAGGAGCATGAGATGAAAAGAGAAAAGTAGGTGAATGGAAATATGAGAAGGTAGAAAGAATGGAAGAGAGAGAGAGAGAGACAGATAAAGACAGACATCTGGGGGGGGGGGGGGGGGCGAGATCAGACACGGGGCGGTGCCCCCGCGACCCGGTCCCGGATAAGCGGAGGAAAATGGATGGATGGATGGATGGAAAAAGCAGATTAGAGATTATCTTTTGAACTTGAAAAACATTCTAAATTGAAACTCAAAAAGACCTAGGCATAGAAAATATGGCACACATTTCTTTCACATAAGCACAGAAACACTTTGCAAGGAATAACATTTGTCAAATTAAACCAAATCTAACAAACCAATATGCAAAGTTTGATCTATACTGAACTGCTGCTGTATATCCACATCAGGGGCTAAACAGAATACCTATTTTCAAAGTGAAACTGTGAAATAATCAGAGTAAAAAGAGAAAAAGAGTACAATAATATGCTAGATTTGTTATAAAATCCTGAACTTTTACAATTTTGTGTAACCTGACATCAATTTTCTAAGTCACACTAGACAATGAAAATACTGTATCCTTCAAGAAGAAAGCATGCTGTTAATTAATGTTTAGATTCTGGTGTTGGTACACACTACTCCCATTGTGCAATGAAGTGGAAGACTTCACAGCTGGAATTAGTAGTAAATGGTGAAACAGCTACAGTAGAACACCAAATCACAAAATTAAAAAAAGTATTTTAAAATAAAAAAGTATTTTTAATTTTTGAAGAATAATAGAAAGAAAATTTAATTGCAGCTTTTATTTATTTTAATCACATTTTCTGAGAGTCAAAGGTTTGCATACACTTTATTAATATTCATTGATATTACCCTTAAATTGTCTAACTTGAATCAGATGCTTGGGGTGGCCTTCCACAGACTTCACAGAACACTCTGCAGGAATTTTGGCCAGATCCTCTCAGCCAAACTCATGCAACTGAATCAGGTTTTTGGGCCTCCTTGAACAAAACCACTGAGTTCAGCACACATATTTTATATTATATTTAAAGTCAGGGCTTTGTGATGGCCAGCTCCAAAACTTTTACTTTGTCTGGCCTTAAGCCATTTTGTTACCATTTTGGTGGGTATACTTTGGATCGTTGCCCTACTGAGAGATCCATTTGTGTCCAAGCTTTAGCATTCTGGCTGATGTTTTCACATTCATTTTCAAAATATCCACATAGTTCTCCTTCTTCATGATGCCATCAATTTTATGAAGTGCATCAGTCTCTCTTGCAGCACAACCCCACAACGTGATACTGCCACTCCTGTGCTTCACAGTTGGGATGGCATTCTTTGGGTTAGTCTCACCCTTCTTCCTCCCCACATAATGTTGATTATTGTGGAAAAACAGTGTTGTTTTTCTCTCATCTGACCAGAGAACATTCTTCCAAAAGGAAAGATCTTGCTTTTGTTAAGCCAGTTTTGTAATAGTGGCTTCCTCCTTGGGGAAAAGCCTTTCAGGTTATGATGATACTGCACTTTCTTTACTGTGAGTGTTGTACCAGTTACTTCCAGCATCTTTACCAGCTCCTTCACTGTAGTCCTGGGAATCATTGAATATCTTTGTGTTTTGGATTACTGGTTGCTTATGAATCTGTTGCATCAAAATACACTAATCTAGGAGTCAGTGCAGTTCTCTGTCCCAAATGAAGCTATGGCTCTGTAGCCTCATGGTGTTACATTTGTGTACTATTGTCTGTACACATGAATGTGGTACCTTCAGATGTTAGAAAATTTCTGCTAAGGAGAAACTAGGGTTGTGGAAGTCTATATTTTTTAAGGTTTTGGTTGATTTTTTTTTTTTTTTTAATTTTTCTAAAGATGACAAGCAAAAGAAAACTGGTTCTGGGTGAACGCCCTAACATCCAGCCACAGCTATGCCCCTAGCTGTCTCCCAGTTAATTAGCCAGTCTAAAGCTTCTCAAGTCAAGACATCAATTTCAAGAAGTGTCTAGGCTGTTGAAAGGGACAGTGAACTTGGTGTATGCAAACTTTTGACCCACTGGAGCTCTGGTTTTGTGAATTAAAAGTGAAATAAATATCTCTGATTAGGATGAACTGATTGCATTTTGATGGTCAAGGGTCAAGGTCTATCTGTGTCCTCACGTCCCCCATATTCCCATGAACTTGATTGGTTGGCGGAGGCATACAATCGTGAATGCGATAATTCTATTTGTCAGTAGAGTTGATCAAGCTGATCAGTTGAGCAGATAATGCTTCCAGTAATCGGAGAAGCCTCTGAGTGCAGTCTGTCACTGACATTATGCCCAGCTAGGGAATACAAGGTTTTTACAGGTTGTCCCATTAGACTGGACTGCAGTGACTGCCTTGCACAAGCACACTTTTCTCTACAATGACATGGTCAAATCCAAGAGAGCTCTTCAGTCAACAGCTGAACAGACATATGTTTATTTGATCAGATTTGTCACTCTTTCATTTCAATAATTCTTGAAATGACAGGGTTACAAGTACACCAGTTCATAGCTACAAGATCATTTTCCCATTTCTAAATCACAAACAGAACTGTCCTACTGCCTGCAGGAAAAAAAACAGGTGTCTAAAAAAATTATAGAATTAAAATGTTACAATGTCAGGATTGACTTTAGCAAACATTGCATAATGTTTAGTTCATTCCACACAAGCAATATCAAAAACAAACATGTCCCGCTCACATCCTACACTGACATTTTTAACATTAAATATCAGGGAATACATCACAGTTTAGAAAGATATTTTTTGACACAATGGGGATACACAAATGTGGGATTTCCTTCACAAAGCAGAACCCACTGTACTATTTTATCTTAAAACCATTAGTTTATTCACTCTGATATACAACCTACAACAAATATTACATTTTAGTACAAGATTAGATTTTTTTTAAACAAATGATTTCTGGATATTTGTACCAAACTGTCAGGCTGTAAACAATGTACTTTATTAGGCAATGTTGCTTTATTCCACAGCATGAGGTACTCTTTGTACATTCATAACACCCCTACAAACAGTTCATTACAAAAACAAAATGGATGAAGTGGACAGATGACTGCTACGGAGTTTGATTAGGACCCACATTAATAACAAAAGTGTAGAATAACAATAAATGACCTAGAGTAACTCACATGATAACACGCCTAATTTCAATAGTGGAAACTAAAGTGACAGCTGTTAATACTGAGATAAATTAACTTCTGATTTGACATGAGAATTTTTTTTAATTCCTATAAAAATAAGTGGATTGTTATGTTGGAAAAATGCTGTTTCTCTAAAAAGGGCACTGAAATGTGTCTGATGACATCACCTTGCTAGAGGTGCACTAGTACCATTGCATCTGAGAGTTTACATGGTTGTTTTAAGACACTATTCCCCTAATACTGAAGGACTGGTTTATTTTCAGAAGGTTGTTTTGTCAGTTCAGAACAGTCATGGTGAGACAGACAGTGCTGACAGAAAACCAATGCCTTACCCAACAAACAGAACCCCTAGAATTGTCATCATTAATCCTACTGACAATTTTTCCAATAATGGCATCACTGTAATTTTTTATTCCACTCCATTCAGTCATACAAAGATCAGTCACTCATGCTGCAAGCAAACACAAAACCAGTTGCTTTAAATCCATCAAATGAAGAAATGTGAAAAAGTTTCCCACCAGAGGCCTTAGTTCTTCATCTGTTAGTGCAGAAATGTATGCCATAGTTCTAAATTCAGTTATAAACACCAGAAGCCAGTCAAAGTTTCCGTTCTATGTCCAGTACTGCACAACCATTTCCACAATATCTCACTGAAATCATACCACACACTTTAAAAGTAATGACGATGCTGGCAGTTTGAAAAGCCTTTATAGCCAAATCTTGTCAAACAATGGAATCCAACGTACAATGTTAAAATGAGAGCAACTGCACTTTGGCAAAAAGCATCTATACAAATAAGAATTTTGTCCCGATCTTACCAGTGACTGCAGGACAAACATCATTAGCAAAGGAGGCAAAAAAATGCCCCATGGCACTGGCTAAGCAGAAACTGCACCAAGGCCAGCAGCCTGGATGACGTTTGTCATGCCATAGCAACATTTTGTTCATACAACAGTAACGACGTCGCAGCTACAGTGTATTGTTCTTGTAATATCTCATCTACAACCAATATAACCATATGCATGGTTGGACTTCCAGTATGTTATGGTTGCAACTTCCATTTGCAGTTCACACAATGGATCCAAAGACCTGGAGTTGGAGGGTTTGATTCGGTTGAAAATGAAAACACACCAACATAACCCCTGATCTATTAAAAAAAGGGGGGAAAAAATCCATCTCAAGCATAGATCTGCCCAGAACCACCTGTGTGTGGGTTCTCTCCACTGAGGCGTTCCTGGCTCGGCTGGCGGTTGTTGTCGCCGGATTTAATGACCCCTGTGTAGTCATGGATGCCCACTTCCAAGTTCTTGGCCCTCAAAGCGGCAGTATGCAGCTTCTCCAAAAAATCAGGCATACCTGCAAGGTACAAAGGCAAAATCTCCTTATTATCAGGGGAAACAAACATACTCAAAGGGAAAACTACATGAATTTAAGAACTGAAATATGTTCATAAAGCTAAAATGACACAGAAAGCCCAAATGTAACTGCAAGCAAAAAAAGTTGCAGCTTTTCAAGTAATACAAGACTGCTGCACTGTACACTGAATATCTTTGTGTTTTGGATTACTGGTTGAGCAAACAAGAAAAGAGAATATAGCCATGTGATTATCCAAATAATCTGCAGCCCTAACCAGTGAAACAAGCTCACCACTTGACACCATCCAGCTCACACAGTAACGGGGAAAGGCAGTCTGAGGGTCGTCGCTGTAGGTCAGCAGGTAATCAAATCCATTCTTTGAAGAAAAACACAAATCCAAACTCAGCAAATAAAAAACACATGACATTGAGTTAAATACTCAATGTAGAACTACATTCACTGCAAACCTCATCAAAGGACTTGTGAGGGCGAATGACCATCTTTGACTGGTATGAATGGACTCTCACAAATTCCTGAGTCTCTGGGACTCTGGGGTGTTGTACGGCCCTATACAACACAATTACAAATGTTCAAGAGTGAGTTTATTTAGTAAGGCATCAAAAACTACAAAAACTAATCAGTTTTAAAGTCTCACCTGGATATCAAGATCATCAGGTTGTTGTCGACATCAACATCATAGCGGCGCACATACACATAGTCCCTTGAGTACATTGGATACTATGAGAAGATTAAACAAGATTAAATAAATATCTAACGGCCTAAAACCCAGATTAATGAATATAACCTAGCTAGCAGTTGCTCTTGGCCAAATGTCTGTGCAATTGTCCTTCACACTTTGCTTGTACAACACAAGACAGAGAGACAACATGCACTGTGAACACAATACATAGAACAAATACCCACATCCCTTTATCTATAATAACAATCAAAAGAAAGTTACAGGAAAGTGTGTAGCCCAGTGCACAACTTCAGAGCCTGTGCTGACATCTCGGTCCACAACTTCAAGCTTGATAACAAGGGAATCCCACTTCCTCCTGTATTCTGTATCCAACTGGGGGGAAAGGGAAAAGGCATAAGTCAAGGGTAACGTGCTTAATATACAGTAGCACTAAGAGTGTAACAGTTGCTTTTATGCTGCACACACACAGCACAAAGATACAGGTTTGGTAATAGAAATGCAAATAAAGCTGCCATAAATCTACCATATACACAATCCACAAATAAAATAAACATGTATCAAAGTCTCAGTGGTATAAATATTACATCTTCGGCCAAACTACTTTGATTACAAGCAGGACACATGCATAATATTTATTCTATTTGAGTAATACAACCATGGTTCAGACATTAAGACTTCAGGAACCCTCAAACCCTGAAAAGGAATTGAGAGAGCAGCTCTCTCTTATCTTGTGATGTTTTAGTATTGCAAAGTTATTTGTTTCACTTCAATTTTTTTAATTAACAGAGACTGACATTTTAATTTGAAAAGGCTCTACCTGTACATTGAAGAACTGTCTTGGTGTGACATCACTGTAGGAGCCCAACACTAAAAGGAAAACGTAAATAAAAGATGCTGACTGTTCAGATGAACCATACCGATATCATCACCACCAAAGGAAAACCTCTAAGTGCAGAAGAGATTAAGTTTAATGTGTACTTGATCTGCAGATCAGAAGCCTGGTCACACATGTGAGATTGTGAGTTAGCTGACCTCTGTACTCATAGAGGTGACTGTTGGGAATAGACCGCCTCCACACTTTGAAATCCTTCTTCTCCATCACAACTTCCCAGCCAGGATCCTGTTTTCCGGTCACTGTCCCTGATGATGTGCTGAGCAGCTTTACAGCCTCCAGTGCCTGCAACTCTAATCCACACCTTCAAAAGGATGCCATTATCGCAAATTGTTTAGTACACAGCTAAACAGTTAGCATTACCAATCATAGTCAAAACTAGTTTAAAATACAGCAGTGCACTGTGACAAATTACAGAAAAAAACTATATGTAATGTTTAGTAAGGTGTTGACTTGCAGAACAGCTTCAATGCTCCTTTGCAATTAGTGTTTTGATGATAGTTTTGAGAGTGTTGGTCAAATATCTGCTGTGTTCAACTTGGTGAATGTGAAAGCCATAGAATTTTTATACTTAAACCATTTAGTGACCCCTTGATGGCCTGTAGGGAAGCAAGTGTATTTATTATGAGACTCCCCTAATTTATTCACTTGTTTCCTGTAGTTTGTCGCCCTTCTATGTGTCTGAGAACACCTGTGGGCTATATGTGCATTTAAAGAAAACTTTCCAACCTGCGGACTTCCTCATCTTGAATCTTCTCATTCTCCCACATGAAGACACCAGCCAGGGCCGCGAATATTTTCCCAGTTGGGGCGTGCTTGCTCTGGAATCTGCGCCATATATTCCCAACCAGGGTCCACTTGGTGCGCTCAGAATACAGGTTGGAGTAAAGCTCACCAATCTGACAGGCACGTCGGAGTCTCTGTCCTGTCACAAAGCTGCATTGGTCCGCAAATATGGAGAGCAAGCCCTTTCGCTTTTGTCCCGATCCCGCGGCATCGACACATGCTCTCTGGAGCCAGGACAACAACAGGCCCATGCTCCTGCCTAGCCAAGGGAGATTCTCAAGCTTCCCTCCGCCCTCCTCGACAGTCCGCCTGAAAGGCCTGTTGCTCTGAAGCCTCAACTTATGTGCACCGATCTCGCAGATGGAACGACGGGGCAAAGAGTGAAACATGACAGCTGTGACCGTGACACAACTTACCAATGACACAATCAAATGCAAAAGTTAGCTAACGTAAGTTCCTTTGTGGCCAATGCACTGTGCATTACCCCTATAAAGATGATAATATGGACTTTTTGACTAGCAAATGCCACAAACCTAATCCAGACTGTAAGCTAACATTGCCTATCAGGCTGTCTGCAAACACGAGACAGATGATGTTAGCATTAGCTAAAGAGCATTAGGCAATGTTATCTGTTAACTGCCTTCTAGTGCGACACGGACAAACTACACCCCAACTTCGCCGCATTTGTTTCTAAAACGACACTCTAATAACTGCACTATAAACAGTTAACATATTGCAGTTCCAGTACGCGTATCCATCTGTGTCTTTCCTGTAAATAGCCTCACATTTTTCAAAATCCTGCAGTGCCTTTGACCTCCTCTTCCTACTACATCTCTAATGCACCGTCACGGAAGGTCCGCCTTACAGATCCTGAACTGGATGTTCATTGGATGTTGTTTGCTTTAGGGTAATTTTGATTGGTCCGAACGGGAGCCTGTATTAAATCGAGCTGCTCGACCCCTAATATTGAGCTGTTGTGTAGTCACTGCTGAAGCTATCCACTCCGTTCGGTGAACCGGAATCAGATTTGTGTCTCAACTGCTCAGATTAGCAGTGACGAAGTTGACGTCGCTCACCAATGTTTACGTTTTTGCCTTACAGGCTGGATTGATGCAGGTATATGTGTACTGCTGAATAAAAAAACATAGGCTCTCGGAATGTTCTTGCAGTGACGTTTTAATAGGCTTTTGAGCTGATTGTTTTGATAAAGCTCTTGAGGTAACAACTTTATGAATCTCTTGTAATTGTTGACCGTGAATAAAGTTGGCTAGTTGTGAATGACTGTGTCATAGTCTAACACTTCCTCAATGTGAAAATCAATGGAACTGTGACATAGTATCTGAAATATATTAGATGTCTTAGTAAAAATGTTATTAACATACGCTAGATGGCGTCATCTAACCATGCACATCAAGAAATGTTACTAGAATAAGTCTAAAAGCCTGCATGCGATACAAGCTTTCTTAAAATTATTATTTTTAAAATAGTTAGATGACAGGACAGAATTGGGTTTAGTGGTTTTGGTAATCTGAGGTATGCTCTGCACTCGACATCAGAAAGGCTCCATGATATCTTCAGGCTCCCCGGGAATCAATGGAAACAACAGCTTTTAAAATGTACTGCATGTCTTTTGGCTGATCCTGTCATTCAATCATCCATCCAACCATTCAGCCACTGTCTTGTGCAGCCTAAGATGCCAAATGTCTTTATAAACATAATAGGTAATGAAATAACCTAGCTTATATATAACACTGTTTTTATGGTGTCATTAGTCTACATGGATTTAAAAGATGATGTGACAAGGGGAAAAAAATTATTTAGCCCTCCAGGTCACATTTTGTTCCATCTATAAAAGTTGGTTTGGAAGTCATGAGTGTGTTGCTCATGAAATCAGTGATAGCCTATATTTCAGTAGGCTATCATAAGTCCATGAGACAAGATGCATTAGCCCCCTATCTCTAAATGAAACAAAATAATATTTGCATGCACAATGCAGGTTATATATGGAATGTGGTTTGACCATTGAATAATGAAACAGCGTTACAACGTAAATTTGAGTAGGTTAGGCCTGATCAGGTGTAGATCAGTAAACATGAATTCTGAGTCCTTCTCTGACACTCCCGCCCTAATCTAATTTTTGGTAAAGCTGAGGTCACTTTTCTGAAGCATAGGTGGCCTCTAATTACTGGCAAAGGAGTAAAAAGCCTCATAATCGGTGTGAGTAACTACTAGGTGGGAGTTCAAGAAGACAGTGGTTAAATCTAAGTCACGCATTGACTTCTGGAAGTAGTAGGGACACCATAAGTAGACTTAATGAGGTCTACTTATGGGACTTCTTGTCTACTTCTTCACTTATGCCTTTAAGCGCTTGGAAACAGATGTGGGCCTAAACAACTGCCACACCTTCCTTTGAAATGCCGCCTTCACTAAATGTTGTGCAAAAGGCTGGTGATAATTTTCATGATCTTACAAAGAGTTCACGTCAGGTATGGCGAGAAAGTGGAGTAAGCTTGTAATAAAAAAAAAACAACTATGCTTGCTGTTAGGCTATTATATCATTGTTCCAGGTATCTCCGCTATCTTGCTTTCCTCGTTGCAAATATGAAATACATTTTAGCTAAATTAATGATCAGGCAAACATATTTTTCCTCTGCTTATTGAGCCGTGTTTCCATTCAGTACGTCTGTTGTTGAACATAAGAGAACACTCGCCAAAGAAAACGACTTTTGTCAGAGGATGAATGTTGCTATAGCACAATTTACAGTCGAATGCGCTTGAATAGATGACAAGTCCTCCTGTGACACAGTCAACATGACCACCGCTGGTTGTTTTCCTACATTGTTAGGCACTGGTTACTAGTGATAACTTTGGTTTGTGTCAATGTGTTTGTCGATATTTGTGACTTTGGTGAACATCAGATCCAATTTCACGACCAATTTATGTACAAAACAAGAAAATTACAAATAGGACCATTACTTTTTTCATGCGACTATATATCAGTGCCAATAGCCAGAAATGTTCAAGTGAAGTCGAGACCGGTAAAGCTCTTCTACCCTTATGTGTATAAGCCTATGTATGTATGTAGGCTATATTTATAAATAGCTAGATTATGTTTATTTCCCATCCCCTTATTATTTGATTGCACATTTTCCTATTTTGAATCCACACTTTTTAAAAAATATTTTTTATTTTCTTGTTGCCTTACAAAATACATTAAGAGCCTCTGTACCGGAATCATATTCCTTGTGTATTTCAACATACTTGACCAATAAAGCTGAATCCGATTTTTTTTTTTCCTGTGGTGTTTGTAACAAACTACAAGTGAAGGAATACTGACCTATAGAAATGTAATGTTGGAAAATAAAACTTCGCTGCGAAGTCGTATTTCCTGAGCAGCACATTCATGCACTGAACACGATGGGTTAAAACGAGAAGAGGATAGGAGAGAGAGGGGAAGTCTCACTGCTCAGTTGGGCGGCGCTTTCTCGTGGGTGTATCCAATAAAATAAGGACCCCTGGAAGTCACTGCACCGGTTGGCGTGAGGAACTTGTACTCCTGCGGCAGTGAGAGCTCTCATTCAAATTGAGACGTTAGTGGAAAAGAAAGCCGGATTTATTTCACAGTGACCATTAGCGTTTTAAGATTTATAACCTAAAGCAGCTTTTGAGGGGGAAATATTTTACAACTAGTTAATTTTTTTTATTTCCCGCGCGCGCTAACAATACGGTTTGTGCGCGCGCGCTAGTTAGCTTACTGGCTAGCAAGAGGTATTCTTCACAGGACCGACAACAGCAAAGTGTGGTGAGTTTTATCATTTATACTCTACCAGGATGGAGACTTCCTTGTGGTTTGAGTTGGATTAACATCATCATTCAGGCCTAACGCAACGCTAACGATAGCCTAAGAGTAAAAACCACTATGTTACGTTAAACAGTTTTAATAAATATGGGTGGTCTGTTTGGTAGATACTAGAAGAGGAAAGTAAACTTAATGCCAGTTAAATATATGTTAATCCTATGGCTATATAATGGTTGTCGATCGTGTGTTGCAGTTGACTTCATGCTATCTAAGGTATGTGAAACATTTGGCTCAAAGCAAGGCGGAACAAATACCGACATTCACGTTGATGTGAAGCTAACGTTAGCCACACTGACCACCTCGCCCAGCACACATGCAGGTCATTAAAACTGTCTGGATGGTGACTGCCCACCCGGTCGTTCAGTGAGAACATTCTCTTCTGTTCCCTGTTCTGTGTCACATCCGGTTGCATCCCCTTTTACGAAAAACTACGTCAGACGTAATTAAAACTGCGGATAATACCAACGGTAGCCATTACACCGTTTGCAACGACAAATTAAAGACTTAACATTAAGTCTTGTACAGTCCAGCTGTTTCTGCTGGCTTGTGAGGCCGTATTTACCGAAGGCACTGGTTTTCAGGGCCAATGTTCTATGAGTTGATTACGACACGTGCGGGCGCACGATAAACGGTATGTTTATCACTGAATGTCTCCTTTAGTTAAAACACGGCTTATCTTGTGTTCATGGACACCAGTGCTCAACAAAACTGCAAAAAAAAAAAAAAAAAATACAACTGTGGGTCAGAGGACGTTGGTGTAATGTAATCGCCGGTTACCTCCTGCGACATAAAATAAATAAATAAAAAATAAAAACCTCCTGCGACATTTACCAAAAATGGCGTCCCATTGGTGTTTTAGCGAGGTCGCTACTAGATGTTCTTCCGGTTCCTCTTTACTACAGGGTTTTCCCCAATCATCTTAGCGTAGTTTCCATGTATAATGTTACAGTTTTAAAGAAGCTGATTTCCCCTTGTGACACACCCTATTTTTTTTTCTTTTTTTAGCCTAGGAACTGTCATTAAAGAAGTCCTTTTCTGTCTTTTGTCTTTTCAGAATGTGCCTCTGCTCATCTGCAGTTACAGTTGCACAATGGCTGTCTCCTCATTTAGCTTGATAGCACAGCACCCAAAGAACTGCAACATATCTAGTTTAATTACAGGATAGCAATAAGCCCTCACTATACCTCTGTTTACTTTAATTGTGTTCTGGTCAGTCCCAGGTAAACCTTTTACAAGTTTGCACTGCTAAATCTCAGAAATCCTGTTAAGACAGGTGAGCCTAAATAGAGACTAATTTATTTTATATTTATTTATTCTGCTAGCTGCTGTTTAGAATTATTATATAGTTATTTTGACAGACATTCATTCCATTTAAGATTGTGAAATAAGTCGTCTATAGTTTACAGTCATGGTTTCAACAACTGCAACCGCAATAATACTGGCTAGCACAGTAATGCTAGCGACCAACACTGCTCTGACAGAGTACATGTGGCTGCTGATTGTCGGCTTCATCATCGCCTTCATCTTGGCTTTTTCTGTGGGTGCCAATGATGTTGCCAACTCATTTGGCACAGCTGTGGGCTCTGGAGTGGTCACCTTGCGACAGGCATGCATCCTGGCCAGTGTGTTTGAGACTCTGGGCTCTGTGCTACTCGGGGCCAAAGTGAGTGAAACCATTCGTAAGGGTATCATCGACGTGAACATGTACAATGGCTCTGAGCATGTGTTAATGGCTGGATCTGTCAGCGCCATGTTTGGTGAGTATCTGCAGTTTGTCTTGTATACAGTTTAATCTGTGGTCACCGAATCCTCTGCTTGATTGCTTGTAGAGCTTGGGACAATTTGGTTATTACACTTAGAAAATGTAGATGTCAAACTAGTTTCTGAGAACAGGGCTGTAACGACTTGTTTAAGTGACTTATTGCCACATAGGCTTTGGGTTATCATTTAACTGGAAGATTTTTCATATCACTTTGCTTGGAACATTTCAGATTCCAACTGTGTTAAAAAAAAAGAAACTAAATTAATTTGAAATGGCTGTAAACAACAAATGATTACAAAAAGCTTTTAATTTAACCAATGACATGAGGGCCCTTAGACTGCTATGAGCCTTCTAATACACTGTCATTTTTTCAGGATTTTAAAAGTTGTCTGAAAAGCTGAAAGGAAGTCAATATATTGAGTCTAATGTGATACATTTATTAATTCTCAATAGGTTCTGCTGTATGGCAGCTGGCTGCCTCCTTCCTTAAACTCCCAATCTCTGGAACACACTGCATTGTTGGTGCTACTATTGGCTTCTCGCTGGTTGCCAGAGGTCAGCAGGGAGTCCGGTGGATTGAACTCCTACGTATTGGTAATTCAGACACACCAATCAGCAGGTCTTCAAATACCCTCAGTTTGGTTGAATTGCATCACAAACCATATTATAGTAATGGAAAGGTGAGACTGGTAGTACAGGGTACAGCTCATATGCTAGTGTTTTGTCTGTGCTGATATCCAGATCCGCGGTGAGGGATGAATGACCATTGCAGGTTCAGAGTCAAATCCACAACACTAAGAAATATGGAATCTATTTGTTATAGAAATTAATGATTCCAATAGTTATGAAGTTTCTGGACTATTGGAATAGGAAAGGAAAGGCATTTGTTAGAGAACATGAGCCAGTTTTACTCGCAGATTTGCAGCAAAATACAGACTTCACAACTTCTTTATCACACTTGTTGTGTTAAACAGTGCTTTTCAGGTTGGTGTTCCTCCTATAGGAAGTCTAAACCAGACTGCCCTTTTTATAAAATTCTGAAAAGAACAAACGGATCACAAGTAACATGTTAACATCTTCTAGTTATGGAAAATATTTAAAAATCCTACATTGAGTAAGAACTCTGGATTCAGTGGTTAAATAAACCGAAATGGTCCACGGGCCTCATAGCTATATTGCCAAAATAGACAAAGAACATCCACTTTACAAGGGTGTTGGATTCCTGTGAAGAAGTGCATGCTTTTCAAGGAAGCATAGAAGAAAGTGTTTCAGCAGTTCTGTGAAAATGATCATCTGACTCTTTAGTTCAGAGTTAGAATAGTATTAAAAACAGGGATATAAAACGGGGATCGTCATTTATGAGATGTTTATATAGTCTTCAATGCCATAGCCAGGATGTTTTTATTGTTTGATTTGCAGGACAGAACTGTCAGTTATTTCATGTCCACTAAATTGCAGTGCTCGCATTTCTTTAATTTGCAGTTGCTTCCTGGTTCCTGAGTCCCCTTTTGTCTGGAATAATGTCAGGCGTTGTTTTCTACTTTGTGCGCATGTTCATCCTGCAAAAGGTAAGCTGGCTTTTATCAAATTGTAGACGGTGTATTGTGAGTAAAACAAAAGCTTCTGGTGTTATGTGTTTAGGCCAGTTTCAACACTGTGCTTGGTTGATTCACAAAGTGAATTTTTTGTTAAATACAGCAAGGTTCAAATTACCTCCATACACCATGTGCCATACAATGAACTGTAACCTGACAACAAAACTGGGGCAGTTTTGTTTATACAATGGAAACTTTTTTTTTCTGACTTGGTGCTCTATTTTGTCCCCATAGAAAGACCCTGTACCTAATGGACTAAGGGCCCTGCCTGTCTTCTACGCCATAACCATGGGAATCAACCTGTTCTCCATCATGTTCAGTGGCGCTCCGAGTGAGTATCATTTAAACTGCTCCCTCAGACAGCCTGATGCCCACATGTATTCCAGACTGACTGCAGACTGTGTTTACCATTTTAACAGAAGCCATTTTTTTTGTTTGTTTGTTTGTTGTTTTTTTTTATTATTATTTAAATGGATTTCTTGCTTGTGGTTCTATGCTTGTGGTTCTATGTGGAATAGAGCTGGAATGGAGTTTTTAAGCGAAGCACAGCATGGAGATGGAAATAAGATTTCATTTAACTCTTGACATCACTGTGCCTTTCAGACATGGAGGAAGAAAAGAGAAGTAAAGAGGGTGTTCAAAGTGGTCATAGTTGCCCCCTGCCATTAGTTGCTCAGAATCACTATAGTAATGCACTGAATATTTGTTGACCTTTCATACTCTATAAACATTTTATTAAATGAGCAATTTTTGCTCCTTTGTTTGTTTTCTCTCTACAGGGCCTAGCAGTTCAAGATGTTAGCTGGCCTGGGCCATTAAATGGCTGCTACAGGCCAGAGTTTGACCACATATGGTGCATTGATGTGTGCTTGCACATCGGTGCAGTCAGAGAGGAGATCACACAGTTCCAGCATAGTCCATAACCCTGTTTTCACCAGCATATTCTGTACAGTTGTGTGAAGTTCCTCATACTTGAACACACTGTACATGAGGACCTATACATGGGTACCTCACATAAAAAAAAGGTGTGAGATTGCATTTTAGACATCTTAAGAAACCCACTGTATCTTCTTTGAAGTTGGGTTTTTTGTTTTGCTTTGTTTACTTCTTCAGTCATTGGAATCTTGCTGGAATCAATGAGGATCATCCCAGTGTTTAACAGCAAACCATGAATCACAGTTGATTTAGTATCTATTCTTCAGTTTCTCAAAGCAGTATGTTTTATCCTCATAATCAGACATCCCACTTTTTTGTGCCCCGCTAATATGCTTCTCCAATACACAGGACATCAACAGCTCACTATTGTTGATATGCAGCCTATGGTAGCAGCAGTATCTGTGCCCAAATGAGAACACTGTGTTTGCTGTCCTTTTGATAGGACTTGGTGTTCCCCGATCTAGATCCAATCATTGTGGTGCGATTGGACACCAGATGTCCTACAGCACCTTCCTGTGCTCAGTACATACACCAGTGCCAGAGACCTCAAGTCTGCCTGTGCAAAAATTCTGGCCAAAGAATTTGAGGGTCAGCTGTCAGTTTTTTACAGATGGAGCTGGGTTTGTTACGCCTTATAATTCACTCAGCCTCAGTCACTCCACTGCAGTCCCACTTATTGTAAAGTGAAAATTTGCTCAAACAGAATTGTTGATCTAATTCCTACCTCCTGCCATGGATGTCGTCTTAAGTTGGTAGACATTTTGAATTCTTCTTGGCCATTGTTGAGATGCTAGGAACCGTTCTACACCTGCTGCCTTCACAGGAACGTTGGTCACGTTGACCTGTTGGACTTTGTATTGGAGCTGGATAAACATTTTCTGGCCAGGTTATTCTCTAATAGAACAAATCTGTGGTTGTTTGCTTGGACTGGGAACTCCACACAATCAGTAACTTAACTGATAATTCACAGTATTCATGTTTTGTACATGTCTCATTTTAACTCGAGTTAGAGTCCTGAAACAAAATCTTAAGCATTTGAGGCTGCTGTTGTCATGGATTGGTACTTATTGTGAGGAGTGAATACTGGTCTTACAGATCTCCTCAGTGCCGATACTTAATGCAGCTGCCACTTAATCCTAATAGTCTTGGTAAGTGCTGCTCTTGTTTTAGACAAAGAGAATAAGTATCCAGAGCTTTGTTGTGAGTCAGAAACCACTACTTCAACTTTCAATGTAATTGAGGTTTGTGGTGAGCTTGCATGTACAGTACTCTGGGAAGAAAACAAACCATGTTACTGTGTAAAGTAAGGCATGAGATACGGATGTTTCAGGGAGGGGTTTGGAACACCGCTGTGGTTAAATTCCATATCCTGTGCAATTCCATTCATCGTCACTGCATGGCTGTGGATAAGTGCAGAAGTGTTTATCAGACCACTAGACTGCAGCTGGTTTTTAAATCCTTTTATGTTTTTTGAGAAGGTACCTACAAACAAGTCAAAGTATTCATGAGAATGTCATCAAGCACCTTTTTGTTATTCCTAAGGTTATCTTTTATCGCGTTACATTGAGCTCCCTAGGATGTACTGTAACGCTTAGCTGAACCACACCTGTCTGTGAATGTCTCACTCCAGTGAAAGACGGGGAACTCGGCTGTTACAGATCCACCTTATTCTCATGCCTATCCTGAAGGCAGTGAGCTTCCATTGCACAACTAAAGGAACATCATTTAGAAGCTTTGCATGCTTGTGCTGCAGTAAGACTTGTTAGTGTGCTGTGGACTTGTGCCCTGAAATGAGCACAGTGACCGTGACATTTATCTTTTAGCCTTGGTCCCAATTTTCTTTTGTTTATCTTAAACTTCCCAACACTCCCAAGCTGAAGGAAGGTTTGTTTGTTTGGTTTTTCCCCCCCTCCTAACCATGTTGCCATATATGATAAAGATGACTGCTTCCCTAGGGAAATTTTATATAGTTTTTCTGCCAGCATGTGCAGCATTACATCTACCTCTGCTGTACCAGCCTTGCTCTAGGCTTGGCAAGAAAGTTCCCCTATTGCTATAGGAGACTGTGTTCCAGTGAATGACTCCCCTTTCTTTTCCTTTAACAAGTAATGTCACCAGTTAAGGAACACATTTTTCATGTGCAGTTGTTCACAGGGCACCTGGGGGTCACAATGTCATTTTTTCTTTTCACCTATTAAGTGTTATAACTGTTCATCTCTAGGGGTACACATGCTTTCCATATTTAAGTAGGGTGTGGCACAATGAAGCGATGCAGTCAGCCAGTCATGTGATGTTTACAGCCAAAAGATTGCATACATGGTCAGATGTTATTTTCTTGTACTGTATTGTCTTTTATGTTGCTCCTAAGATGATCATAGTCTAAGATCTCATGTCACTTGTAAATGCCATCTTGCCCTACATTTTTACAGATCTATAAAAATACTTGGAAGTAATTTATGTCAATCTTAATGCAGAATAACTTTGTGCATTGTCCTTTAAGAAAGGTAGCACCTGCTGCCTTGTTGTTTTTTTTAAACTGCCTTTTTCTATTTACCTGTGTGGTTCTGTCTGACACCCGGTGGTCCCTCAGTGCTGGGATTTGACAAGGTCCCTTGGTGGGGTATCCTGCTCAGCTCATTGGCCTGCTCTCTGCTGACTGCTATTGTGGTCTGGTTTATTGTCTGCCCTCACCTCAAGAAGAAGATTGAACGTAAGTCACATTTATTTTAGTTTTGGCAACTTGATGGCTCACAATCTCAGTGGTCACCAGTTTTAAGGTGACCACTGAAGTCATGGGTTTTCTCTCAAGCCTCTATACAAGCCAGGGATTCAGCATTGCAGTTGTAACCACAGTCTATTCACACCCATTAATCCAGCAAATTGAGCTCATGGATATTTTCTTATAATGGAGTGGCTTTAATGAATATCATCTGGAAAACATTGTCACATTTTTTATCTCATGTCCTTATTTAAAATCCAGGAGCCTTCTGGATTTATCCACACATAGTGTGGTTTTGGTGTTGAGGGGAAGGCCATTCAGCCTGGACCTTCACAAAGTCTGTGTAGTTCCCTGTGTTGTTAATGATGATGCTTGTATTCACCAGTCTTTCATGAGGTTTAGTCCTGCTTTCTTTCATAACTGCAAACTGAACAGGCTTGTTACAGAATACTACTTTGGCATAGGCCCACAAATGTACTTTTATATAGGTTTCCATTAGAAACTTGATATATCTTCTTTCTTATAGTAACAAACAGCCATGATCTGGCTTGATCAGGTTCAGTCCAGAAGATGAGCAGTCTAATTGGCTCATAGTGATCCACTAATTGGTTTATACCTCCTTGACTAAAATAACCTCAGGCTGACTTAGGTGTTGAGATGGCACTTGTAGTGCATGTGACCAGCTGGGATGATGCATGAGTTTGAATATTTCTATGATCCCGATTTCACTTTAAAACCAGAAACAAACATCATGTGAGTCACCGGGTGTGTTGAGTCTTGTCTGTCACAAGTTAAGCAGTTGTGTAAATAAGTTCTTGGTAAGGTCATTCATTTATCTGACCCAACAAACACAGCCACGTGCTTTTCCACACAGGTAATGTTGCATTTGCAGGACAAAGGTTTCTTATACTCTAATTATATAATTCTTTTAACTTCATACAGTTTAGGTCGATAAACATGTGCTGTGATGTGTATATGTTTAGACATGAACCAAGCAGCATCTCACTCCAGTTTCCTCCCCTACTAGGAGATAATAAGTCTTCCAGCCCCTCTGAGAGCCCTCTGATGGAGAAGAGAGAGGCCCACTGTCCAATCCTGAAACAGACTGCCAAGGAGACTTTAACACCTACCACTCCAGCTGTCAATCAAAACATCTCTGCTCAGCCTCAGGCTGCTCCCGAGGAACGTAGGGTGACCTTTGGCATCGGAGATTCTGACTATCTGGACAATAAGGAACGTAAGGTGGCGTTTGACATTGGAGATTCTGATGACACAGACTACAGCAGTGCAAATGGCGGGAAGTAGGCAAAGAGAAAAAACAGTGTAGGGGAATGGTAATCTTCTGCATATAGTATATAATCACAACTGTCATGAAATAACACGCATGAAGTTGGTACAACAGACAAACTGACAAATTTTAATTTATTTTTTACCCCTTTCTCTAGCCCCCAAACATATCCCATCGAGCAGTCAGGTCCAGGTCCAGCACAGCAATGGCTCCACAAATGCTCACAGTCAGGTCCAGTTCAACAACCAGGTTCAGTTTAACAACAGGCCAGCACAGATGCCAAGTAATGGTTACAGCCAGTACCACACAGTCCACAAAGACTCTGGCCTCTACAAGGATCTGCTGCACAAGCTCCACTTGGCCAAGGTTGGTGACTGCATGGGCGAGGGGAGTGACCGACCTATCCGGCGCAACAACAGCTACACCTCCTATACCATGGCAATCATTGGCATGCACGGAGACTTCAAGCACAGAGAAGGGGATTTCCATTCCAGTGAGGATGGTGACAAGGGCTCAGGTTCAGGTGGTCAGGACAGGAAGCGTGTACGTATGGACAGTTACACCAGCTACTGCAATGCTGTGGCGGAGCACATGACCCCTGAGGGTCTGAGAGAGGGTGATGTGACACTAGAAATGGGGAAGGAGGATGGAGGTAGCAGTCGAAGCTCTGTGGATGATGATAGGCTTGAGGCAGACAAGCCAGAAGTCTCAACTCTCTTCCAATTCCTCCAAATTCTCACTGCGTGCTTCGGCTCCTTCGCCCATGGAGGAAACGATGTTAGGTATGCAGAGTCTTTTGTGAAAGTTATGTCATTAGGATGATAGATGTCGCTTTGGTTTTTCTAGCATTTTGTTGGTGACTTTATTTTTTTTTTTTTCCATCTCGGTTCAACCCAGAGTCAGACTCTTTGGTCACTGTTGAAATGACCTCATTCTTTCCTCTGCAGTAATGCCATTGGACCGTTGGTGGCTCTGTGGCTGGTTTACACAAGCAGCAGTGTGACTTCAACAGAACCTACACCCATTTGGCTGTTGCTGTATGGTGGCGTGGGCATCTGTGTTGGACTCTGGGTGTGGGGTCGCAGAGTGATCCAGACCATGGGTAGAGACCTTACCCCCATTACTCCCTCAAGGTACAGACTCCATAGACTTTACAGAACTTGTTTCTCCTTAGTCATAAAACCACATCCTCTGCAGACATTATTAGTCTATGAATTTGGCAGGCATACTCAGAGATTATGTTTTTCCTTCCCCTGCAGTGGTTTCAGCATTGAACTGGCCTCAGCCGTGACTGTCGTAGTAGCCTCTAACATTGGCCTGCCTGTCTCCACCACCCACTGCAAGGTAAGCTGGTCAAACACTGTGGTCTGGGAGCTAGACTGAGACATAAGGGAAGAGACTATTTAGTATGATGGAGTCTTGGGTAAACAGTCTGGAAGATGGTCTAAATGTGGAGCAAGCATCTCCTCAAAATTTTGACAATTGAGGTATGCAGATGGATAATTTGAAGTAGTAAATTTAAAGAAGGTGATGGGACTTCTCTAACAACTACTCTGTTTCCAGGTTGGTTCTGTTGTTGCAGTGGGATGGCTACGTTCAAGGAAGGCAGTAGACTGGCGTCTGTTCAGAAACATCTTCATGGCATGGTTTGTGACTGTGCCCATCTCTGGCCTAATCAGTGCTGCCATCATGGCTATTTTCATCCATGGCATCTTTTGAGCATTCAGCTGTACCCCAAGCAGGGGAGAAGAAAGAAACCGCTTCATTGTGTGCCAGGGGCAAGGGATGGGAGTTTAGAAGGCCAAAATATATCACTTACCTCAAGCAAACTACTTCAAAAGAAAAGGTAAAAAATATCAAAGGACTTGAGATATGGGTCTGCATTATCAACCTGGAATTTTTTATTTATTTTTTTTTGGTTGAGTGGGGAAACTTGCATTTCCTTGTTCCAACTAGTTTTTTCATATCAACATTCTGTAGAGAGCTAATCTAAAAGCATCAACTGCTTTAAAAAAAAAGCCTTTTTTTTCTTTTTAAATATTTATGTGTGTGTGTGTGTGTGTGTGTGTGTGTGTGTTTTAAGCCTAGGTATTTTTTAAAACAGCTAGGCCATATAATTTATGAACAGTTCTAATGCAGTATTAGCCTGCTGCAGATTAACTCTCCAGTCATAACGTGCTGAAAGCGACAGATGCAAAAGAAGTATTTTTAGGTGAAATGTGAGATTGGTGTGTGTTTATCAATGACTTTAATGCATCTGGCTTCTTATATTCCCTAAACTGATTGTCCCTCTCCAGTTTAGAACAAACTTGACTTTGGACTGACTGTACATTTCAGAGATCTTGCTGAACATGTATTCTCTAATACTTCATTCGGTCATGTCCACAGTACTGCAGTTTGTCACATAATTTACAATCAGATTTACTTCAGTCAGAGCACTGGATGGGTACCTGGAGAAGAATAAGAAATGCTGCATCATATATATATATATATGTCAGCACACTTCTGGCAAGAAATGAAGTACCCTAATCATTTAATGCAGTGAATTACTAATCTGCTATTCCACCATTCATGAGAATCTTAAGGCTTTGCATTCTTCATCCATTGCAGATATAACTGCCTGACATATCTTCATTACTTGAATTTGACTAAATGTAACAACAATGTAAATAAATACAGAAACATGCCCTCAAGCAAGACCTTAAGTCTCCTGCTAAAACTTGACTGCACTATCCTTTATGATTAAACACTTAAGACTGCTTCAACCTTGTTTACTAGTTTCTTATGTCAGCTACTTCCCAGTACGGGTTGTCTGAATTTACACCTGCCTTAGGAAAAATAGGTTGCTCTAGCTTTGCCGTTTTTCTCCTGTGGCATGAGAAGCTCCATTTAAGGTTGTACATGAGGAGGAACAGGAACCTAAAAACTGGAAGTTATCCAACTCGATGGATTGGTGTTGCGCTGACTCCTGTGTTTGAATGAGGGCAGACACATTTTTCCCCACAAGTGTTGGGTTCATTTGGCTGCAGTTATAAATGTGTTCCAGACCTATAGACTGCTGTAGTTGCCTTAATTGTTTATTTTTCCCCTTAGGTACCAAAGATTTTTTTTTTTTTAAATGCACATTGACATACTGTACTCTAGTCCACAACTATGGATATAAAATAAAAAAATGGAAAAACACTTGGGGGGGTTTTTTTTTTTTTTTTTTTTTTTTTTTGGTTTTTTTGAAAGCTTCGCTATAGAATCTCAAAAGAATTGGAACAGTCTCTTGGGGTAATATGTTATTAAAACTCAATGGCTGCACTTAAGTATCTTGCACTATTACAGCATAAACAGATCAAGGACACAGGTTGTACAGGTAGGTGGGATTATTCCCTTTTTATTGACAATAAGCTCAGTGCAGCTCGGGCACTGGGTGACGAATGAGCGCTGGGATCCGCATGCTGCTGTTTTTTCTCACTCCAGTACACCTGTGAGGCAGGGACATGGATTCCTTTACACTAGCTGTACATTACAAACACAATTCAGGAGTTTTACAGGACTGTTAAAGTATATACTGTATATGAATCATCTCTTAGGGTTGGCTAATAAAGATAACTACATCACATGGTGGTTTTCCTTCTAACAGAGAATCATACCTATGACCTTAATCAGTGATTGTATCAACAACAACCCTGGATCAAAAGAGTTTGATCAATTTTCAAACAGTCCTTTCAGCATCGTTTAGGACGGCGCCACCTTGGTCCTAAAATAACCAGGAGCAGATGACAGTATAAATCAAGCACAATAAGCACCTGGGGACAATCATCTGAGCACCCTGGTTTCTTGTCCTACATTTACTTGCATACAAGGACAACTGTTCAAATAAATAATCCTAGCATTATGTTTTAGGGGTCACACAGCTGATTTTGCAATCACTGTGGTGATTTGAATAGATCCAGAGCAACTTTTTTTTTTGTATAAACTTGGAAAAACATCAGTCCTGGGGGGGGTTTTTTCCCCAAAAAAATGCCTTTGAGGCATTTTGTTTACTTCAGAAGCCAGTTTATAAAGGGTTTGACACTATTTAAATCTGGCTGAGACTGGCTCTGACTGGCTCTGTCTGTTCCTATCCAGCTCATTGCATAATGTACAATTCAACTTTCAGTAGGTTGCTCAAAACAGATCACCACAAGTTGGCTCAGCAAGAAACTTTGAGTTGGCCTCAAAAAAATTTAACCACCGTCTCTAAACGCAGATCATAAACTATAATAATCCTAAGTAAACAGATGAGGATACATTCAGCCTTGTGTGGATTTTTATGATATGTGTAGCATTTGGAGGTTTTACCTGGTTCCTTGCTTGAATCCTGACTGACATCATCTGCAGAGAAATGAGTACATGGGAAATTACAGCAGGTAGTTAAAAGTGTGGGATTCATAAGAATTCAGTTTCCACTGTACTTAATCTTACCCAGACTGCTCACAACCTCAGTCACTGCCTCATGGTGATCTGGGAAGACATTTAAATGTAGTCTGATATTAAACACTGCAACTGTTGTGTACTTTATTTAACAAAAAAGCCTAAAACATGACAAGTTCATGAATATGTGCATAACCTTTGAAGACAAAAGATTTACACTTACCCCGCCTCTGTCTCTCTGTCAAATAAAGACAGGATTAGAGTGAAAGAGGCTTAAGTTACAGCTTTAACGTACTGGAATAACTGCCTGCAAAAGGTTAATGTCATAATCTCACCATCTGTTTCCTCAGAGGACTGTGATTCTGTGGGTAACAAGGGAGGGACATCGGTCACAAGAATGCAGTGTTTTACATCCAGATCTTTCCGGACCATCCCTAAACTGTCCTTTCTTGCCATCTACAGACTGATTTTGGAACTTACCCTCATGAGCTGCAGCATCAGTGTTGCTGCCTCCCTCTGCTGGAGGAGGGTTTCAGAGTTATGCAAAGTTGAATCTCGAGTAAAGAAGGATCACATGTTGTCTGTGGAAGCTAGCAAAATGTTTACTTGTTTATATTACACACCTGTGCTGTCCTCCTCAGCTTCACTATTCTTTTCCTCTGTTGGAAACAATTTAGTAAGTGAGTCTGATGTTTACATGATCAATGTGTGTTCATGCACTGATCACAGGTGTAACTTACCAGATTCACCCTGGGCAGCCTCTGTAAGTGAAAGATTTCATTATTACCTGAACCTAGACCAGCTGTCATTAGATATGAATGAAGTCAAAGGTCATATCATATGGTTCCTCTTACCAAGGTAGCGGGCATCCTCACCCTGTTGCTCTGTAACTTGACAGGTGAGAGGATAAAAACTCAATGACACAGGGAATTATTTTGCACACACTACTTATCAGTTGGTTCAAGCTAACTGCCCTGGAGTTTGGTCAAACCTACCATTCATCTCAGCAGCTTTGATCTTTTGAGCGGCTTCAAACTCCATCTGATCTGAAAAGCCAGAGAGGTAAAATCATAAAAACAATGACAGCTTATGAAAGTGAAGAAATTGATTATTACTGATAGATACATGCAACAAAATGAATGAGAAGTCATTAAAAGTATCTTGTAGGTAGCTTTAACAAACCAGTGAGTCAGTCTGGATTCATTCAATCAGTCTCCCTATATCACAGCAAAACAAAAAGTCTATTTCAAAGTCAGCTGGACCAATGCACCGTACCTATTTTCTGTAGTTCAGTTAGCCCATCTGCATGAAAAACAAGACAGTGTTGAATTACATCAGATTTGAGGCATGCAAACATCATACAACTATCAATGATAATTCCTCACCATATGGAGTGACTGTTTCCTCTTTCACTGCAGATTCCAGAGATGCTGACAGAGCTAGAAGCCATCACAAATACACCAGTTAGGCTATGCAGGCTAACACAGATCACTTTAATCAAGCATTTGTTTCTGTTGAGGTAAAGTCTAGATTTTAACCTCCCTCCTCCCAGATCAGCACATTTTAAACTCCAGTGACTTGAACATTTTCTAAAATCATGACAATAATGTTTTCTTCTTCTTACCAGTGTGTACTGCTGCCACAGTGAGGAAAACAAACACAGGCACTAGAAACCTCATCTTGGCTGCTGGTCGTGGAAGATTTTGGGTGTCACTCCGAGCTGTGTGTTGCATTGTTGTCACTCAGCAGCCTCTTATATGTCCGGTCACATCACATGCTCAGCATTGACAGGCGGCTCTGGTACCATTGTCCCTCCCTACCTGAGAGGACAGCTGGGTGGCACATCACAACACTGACACATCCTTATTCATGCCATCAATGTCGCCCATTGTTGGCTCCTCAGTCACATGGGACTTTATTTGGGATGTTACTGTGTCTGACTACAAAAAAAAAGGGAGTCCTTGCATCTGAGCTGAAAACAATGTTCATTTCCTTTTAGGATTGGACATGGTGATTTCACCGTTCATTCTTGGCTCATGTACGATAGGTCATAGTGAAGTTCAGTAAGACAATTATTCAATTACTCTAAATCCAAACAGATGCAGATGTTAAATGTTTAGTCTTGGATCAGTCATTAAAAGACCTGGATTCAGACAAACCTGAATTTTAGATGTCAGTATGAAATTAAAGAGTTTTAATCGCAAATGGGACAAAAAAAAAAAAAAGTGCTCTGAGTAAAAAACTGAAAAAAGACGACTAATAATATAGCTCACATTTCATCTGTAAAGCAAGTTTGCAAAGTGCTTCACAGAAAGTAACCTGTACTTGAGCACAGTGTGTGAAGTCATTCAAACACAACGTCATTAGGCTTTTACTTTGCAGCCAGATACCAAAGTTAACCACTAAGTAGACAAGGTCTCCACACTTGATTGTGATTGTAAACACTTTCAAAACTTGTTTGGGAGGCTTCTGTCTTGTTTGAAATCAAATTAATTCTGAACTTAAAAAGTTTGTGCAGGAGGATTAAATTTAAATGCTGTACTTTTAGGCATTTACAAAGGGGCATCAGTTCAAAACACAATCTTTTCTGTCTTTTAAAATGCATTATTAATGTTTCGCAACAGTATGATTTAATACATACTCACAGCCAGACAATATATTTTAAAAATCTTAAAAAATACACTTCTAAATTTGCTTAGGAAATGATTAGCAAACTAGAGTCATCATCTCAAAGTAGCTAAAGAACACGAAAAGCGGTCTCAGCTGGAGCAGTGACATGACATTTGATAAATCAGTTTTAAAAATCCTTGATTTTAATGGCTTAGTGCGATTAGACTCTCTCCAGTTACATTCAACTTAGTCTATTTAAACTGTAGGAAAATACATTAACTTGCAAGTAGTTTTTATAACTGACATCCATACAAATCCAAATGAAATCATATAAATCCATCATTAAAGGGACATCTCTATAACAGTGAAGGTCTAATGATGGTGGGTTTGTATGGCACCAACATCTGATTTCTTAGATGTTGGCTGTACCATGTGCACATAAAAAAAAATAAGATCAATCTAAGAATCTGTTCAAGACATCATGTAAAACAGAGAACAGTGGTGACTCGACCCTGCAGCACGGATCACAGTGACAAGTTCAGGCATTAGTACAGTGCCGTTTCACCCTTTTAAATGGGATTTGTGCTGATGATGCCATGTCTGGATTTGTGTTGTAGCTGGCCAACACTGTACTCACAAGTTAACTGCTGAGATCTGGGAAAGGGAACAAAATGCTAAAAATTGTCAGATGGGGCAGGAAAACTGGAGTCGTCAAAGAACCTGTCAGGTTCTACACAAAGTCCCAGGGTAGCCCAACTCATTAGAAGTGAAAAGTAATTATACAGCTGTTAGTTTATACAACTTCCTGATTCAAATTTAACCTATCATATCTGAAACTGCTGCATGCTCAGTTTCCCCTCACAATGGGGATTATTATTCTGGACATTTCAGGAGCGCACACTTTTGGTTTTAAATCCGAATAAAGCGTCTTAGAAAATCAGGATAAACTGATGTCAAAAAAAATAAAAAATGTCACACAATCACAATTTCCTACAAGCCAAAGCGAATCACATGCCTTTTGTCCAACCGATAATCTAAAAACCCAGATTTCCTTTAACATCAGTGAAGGTGAAACCATCAAATCTTTACTTAAAAAAATTACTTCAGTCATTCAGTATCAGTTGCAGATCCATTTTCCATCAGCCAATCATTCAAATCAATTAATGCTGTGGCTCTAATGACAGGTTTACAGATCTCAGCAGTTTGGTGAGTACCATGTTCTCATGTCACAAGTACAAAAATAAGTTGTAATAAACCAGAATACAAGTTTAAAGAGGTCAGTGCACTCCATATACCTGAAAGAGAGTTGGAATTTGCCCTGGCAGAAGTATTAGTATAGTGCAGCAGTCATGCCCATAAGCATCAGGGTGGGTATAGACTGGATTTACAGTATTTTATTCTTATCTCAAGTAGTTCTGTCTCTAGTCTTTAGAGTTCCCCTCTTAGTCGGGTTTGCAGGTCTTCTTGGTCGATCTTGCCGTCCTGTTCATGCCAGCGATTGTGTGCTAGCAGGGCCACATTCCTTGCAGAGATGGCACTCATCTCCATGGCACTGGCTGCCCACTCCACAGCACTAAGGTAATATAGGTGGTTGTGCAGGATAAAGGGAGGGATCTGACGGGACGGCAGGCGATACTCAGGATATGCTAGCCAGCGATTCTCAGTCACTGAATCCCAGGAGAGGAATATGTTCTGCAGCTGCTCTTGAGACAGCGGCTGTGAAGAGAACACTTTCCAGACTTTGGTCTCATTGGAAGGGGGCCTTTTGTAGTCTTCAGGGATGTGCACGGGGTCAAGAGAACTCAGACTACTGATAAAAGAGCCATTTGAATCCGTGGTGAGGACCTCAGACACCTTGAACGCTGAGGCCGGCCCTGTGGCCCCTAGGTAAGACATGTTCAGCAAGCCGTGGACCAAAGTGGACACTGTTTGGTGGTAGCGCCCGGGGAAGTGAGATGGGATTGGAGGGGAGAATCCTGAAAAGGTGATGTCTGACATCCCCTGGTGAAGTGGTGTCGCTATCACCACAACATCATACAGAGAGTGAGCTGAGCCTGATTCTCCAACATAACTGACCTCATAAAAGCTGGCTGTGGCGCCTGAAAATGAGAGGTGGAGGGAAGATGAAATGTTTGAAAGTTAAGCCATTTTCACATATGAACTCCAGACTATGTCTGCGAAATCAAGCCCGGACTTTGTCCAGAGTTTCCATTTCACACACGTAGCACAAAACAGGAGGTAGTCAGTGTCATACACATTCTCATCTACTGAAAAACACTCTGCTTGGTTTATGCAATGGGGGCACACCTGGGTAGAGTGTGCAGGGGGCAAGACATGACGCAGTCACAAAGCCAGTTTGTAGTTTGGTCATAAACAACTAGTCCCTTGTTGTTCCTTAAACTTGTCTGATGATTCTGGCACCAGCTCTAAATGACAGAAGTTCCCGGATCTCGTGTCTCCAGTTAGATATTTTCATTGCTGTCTTCATTGGAAATTAACTTTTTTCTTCACCATTGGATGTTTGTATTCTTCTAGTTTTGCAATGGTCACATGATAAAACGTCATTAACACACCGGCTTGCTCTGGCAACAGCCTCTTTTACACAGACATCGCGGAAAACTGCCGGTGTTTTGACTCTTCTTCAAAACAGCTTTTCTGATTAAGCCCTTTTTACACTGAACTTAATAAAGCTGGCAAACTGCTGCTCCCGTGTTCATTTACACAGCTGCAGGTAACAGAGGCGTGATGAACTAATGAACAGCTCTGTACCAAATGACGTGACTATTACCTGTCTTGGAAGGTCGAACCTTGATTGAAATGGAAGTCACTCTGGCAGGGATGAGCTCACTCTTACTGTGGTACAGTAGTCCTGAACAAACTCTCTTATTACCTCCATCCACTGCCCAGAGGCCTGAATCTGCTCCTGCCAATGCCACGGCCCCTAGAAGACAACACATAAATGTTAACTCTACTTTACAAATTAACATTTTTCAACATAAAACCCAATATTACAAACAGTATGTGAGAAACAAACGTACATTTTGGAACGTACCTACAAAGGCGTTGATGCGGACACTCTGGCCATAGTTGACACGAGTGATGGGTGCAACAATATCATTGAGGAAAACCTGTGAAAATCCTTCTCCCATCATGGTTTCCTCCAGAGTCTGATTCATCAGGGTGAGAAAACTATCACTGCCCATGGCGTGCACGAGCCTCTCCACACTGGAGAATGAGTAACCATACTGCTGATACTGGTATATCCTGTGAAAAACAGGACTTACATGAATCAGGACAAGGGACAGCAATTCTGTGTTGATATTTCTGGATCTCAGGCTAAAGAAATAACATGTAGGAGCCCGCTGCTTTTCCTACTTACCTCATAAATTTGTCTAAAATACTCTCCACCCACACCTGCATTCGAAGAAGGTTGAATCCGTATCGCCAGAGCATACGTATAAAATTGATTATATACCAGTCACTCTCTTCAAACATGAGCTCTTTTCCATCAAAGATTGCCATTTTAGAGGGGACGTCTTTCCTTGGAGGAATACCTGACATCATAGGAAATCTTATTCAAATATACTGGACTACAGTACGTACCAATTATAGTTTCAACTACTGGTGTATTTGTGCTGAGTGTGTTTCATTTAGAAAATGCTGACATTACCTAATATTTCAACGAAGTGCTTCATGTGCAGGTTCAAAGGATGGATCACTGAGCCTCCCATCTCATACTCATAATCTTTGATCTTTACTGATGCTAGTCGCCCACCAACAAGGCCGGATTCAAATACATCAATCTTCACCCCGGTTCCAAACTCCTGCCTCAGGTAATATGCTGCTGCTGTGCCACCAATGCCTGCTCCGACCACAGCTTTAAAAGGAGCAATAACAACATGGTAAAGTAACTTTGTGCACAGGCTCAGACGGAAAGGTTTCCTGGAAGTAAGTACATGAATTAACGTCCAATCCACACTGTCCACTTGCATTTGAATGATGGCCAATGCCACCACACGAAAGGTTGAGGCTGTGTGCCAAAGTTTTATTTATTCTCCTTTCCTATCAGTGGAAGAGGCAATAGCTGAAGGAAGCGACTTTTATAAAGTGGCCCTGTCATAACTGATAAAACTTAAATTTTTATGTATTCTTTGCAAATTTCACCAGTTTTCTTTAACTAATAACACTGATTATACTGCAGTCCCATAACCTTGGGTTATTTATGGACTGATTTGACACCTGCAACTTTAAACTATTCAGTTATTGGTGACTTTCCACCAATAACTGATTCTCTTCTCTCTGGAAGACAGGACAGCTAGTTGCCAATTATGGGTTATTTAATTGCAAATGATAACTATCAATTATTTTGTGATGATTTAATCAGTAGACTATTTTCTCAATTAAACTTTTTCAAAGTCTAAGGTGGTGTCTTTATATGACCAACAGTGCAAAACCAAAGATATTCAGGGTGATATAAAGCATTATTTATTTTTGAGATGCTGAAAGCAATTTTTTTTTTTTTACATTTTTTACTAACAAATTACTATGATTATTCAATTATCAAAATAGTTGTCAATTAGTTTTCAGCAGATCAACCACTCAAATTTATGCAAATTGAGACATCTTTGGTACATTTTATGTAGTTATTATTTTTAACTTGTCCACTTCTGCCAATGGGTGAAGTCATATTTATGTATCCCCCACAGAAATATAGGTCAAGCATCCTGAGTAGGACAGAGAAAGTAGTTACAGAAAGGGTGACGGATGTGCTTTCTGTGTGTGGCTGCAGCCTGGGACTAGCTTACCGATCTTTTTGGGTTGATTTTGCAGCTCTGGAGCTGAGGCTAGACTTCTCCTCCCAGTATGCCAAAGCCCCAGAACCAGCAGAGCTCTCAGTGACAGGGTATGTAAAGCCATTGTGCCCATTTATCAGTCTTGGTCAAAGGTCACAGAGGACTTCGGGCGTATGCAACAAATAACAATGGAAATGGTAACATAAATAATTATACAGCCGAAGCCAACATCATTGTGTCTGTTTAATATTTGGAGATTAAAAACGGAAAGTGTTTGGTGGTATGCACAGTGTGGACTCACAATTTCAGAAGTCACTACAGGAAGACTGTTGTTGATCCAGAAGTAGCCTTCAAAACTTAGCTTCGCCGTTAAACTTCAATATAACGTTAACTTTAAAACTCGTTTGGACTCCCAGCTGTCTAACGAAACACTAAACTAAACTAATGAAAATGCCACTATAAAACCAGAAACTGAATTAACTTGCTAAACTTGGTTAGCTGCTGAAACACATTAGAGCAACGTGAACGTCGTTAAATATTGAGGCAACTTCCGCTTAATTCAGTTTCACAATAAACACCCGGTGGGGCAGAGTTCAATTTGTGTCCCGATGGACTGCAGTGGAAATCTACAAAGAGCAAACGCTTCAGTAGATATCCTAACCGCAATTTCTGGTTGGTTAAACAAACAAATACATAAATAAATAAAAGTGCTGAGTCCTAAATTCATAAGCCACAAACCAAAACTTTTGAAACCCATGGTTTATTCTTTAACAATACATTGCATTCAATAAGCATAAATTGTGCCTTAACTCTTAGGGGAAAAATAACTAGTTATAAGGTTGTCAAATTTATGTAATGTGCTGAGTCCTAAACTCATAAGCCACAAACCAAAACTTTTGAAACCCATGGTTTATTCTTTAACAATACATTGCATTCAATAAGCATAAATAGTGCCTTAACTCTTAGGGGGAAAATAACTAGTTATAAGGTTGTCAAATTTATGTAATGGAGTAAAAAGTTAGTAACAAGTGATATTGTGTAATTAGCGTTTTAAAAGACCAATTTTGACATACGATGCTGCCAAGAAATACAAAAATGTAGAATAAAATCTAGGTCCAAGTCATCTTTTATTTGTAAAGGTCCACTGGCCTGCGCATTTAGTAGGCTGCCTGCTAGAAAGGTTTGTAGGAGTTGTCGTTTGTCTTTTCTCACAAAAAGAGTTATAAATATCAATAATAATTAACTCAGGCAAATGTTAGATAACAGAAGGCCCGTGACAGTAGATTTAATAATCCATAGTGTAGAGACTTTCTCCCGAGTGTCAAATATGTAATTTAACCAAACACGGAAGATGTTTCTTCTTCTTCTTTTGTCTAAAACCGAATGCGGAAGAGTAGCGGAAGTAGCGCAGTCGTCTTCGCACGTTTAACCATGCTTGAATGGGGGTGACCTTAGTTATTCTCAGATAGAATCTTAAAGAAACGTGGCTCTGGAAACAGCAGGTGCACCGCGTCAGTCCAGTTTAGTTTGGATGCTAAACTCGTCTTTAACCATTCTGAAGGCTTGCGGAGTGAGCAGGACGAAGAGAAATGGCAGAGGCACATCAGGCACGCATGCAGACTGTGGTGGAAGAAATGGTCCATAGCCTGGAGAGAGACCACATCCGTAAAATGCAGGTAGGTGCCTTTTTGGTGGAAACTTGAACTGTGCAGGCAGCGCTTTCTTTCTCCCATTCTGCTCCGTGCAGCAGCTGTATCCATCACGTCAAATCTGTGTGCTCCTTCTGCAGGGTCGCATGTTCAGTTGCAGTGCGGACTGCTGTGCTCGCTCCTCAGCCTCTATGTCTGAGGTGCATCAATGTATCGACAGGTGTCACACTCCTCTGGCCAAAGCTCAAGGACTGGTCACTTCAGAACTGGAGAAGTTTCAGGTAAGAGACATGTTATGCGTCATTATCGTGCTACCAATTCACTGATGAGTGTGGCATCTTAAAAAATGAAACGGTCAAGTCACATGTAACAGCTGATCCTTTCAATTACAGTGTTATATTTCATTGTGGCTTTCAGAACAAAGGTGCTATACTCACATTTATCAAACCTGTGATATTCAATGGGGCAAAAATGGGCCACTTCTCTCTGTATTTGTATATCCAGCCATCTTCCCCATGCCAATAAAGCAGATGTATATAGGAGTATGGGCACATGTAAGATTAAATAATGAAAATATCTTTTGGATAATAATTCAGGCCCTGTTTAAAGCTCTTTGACATTTTGATACCAGGTGAAGTTGACTTACCCTTTGCCCTTAGGGACTTCTCTCTGCTTGTCATTAAACCTAAACCACATTTCCTCTCCTCTTTGCCCCCCTCAGGACCGTCTGACCAGATGCACGATGCACTGCAATGATAAAGCTAAGGATCTTCTTGACTCTGGCGCCAAAGAGCCAGCAGTTCGATCGCTGTTGGACCGCTGTGTGGGCAGTTGTGTGGACGACCATATTAACTTGATCCCCAGCATGACCCGGAGAATTAAAGAACATTTGGACTCTATAGAGCAGTAAGGAATGGGTTGGCTGGATCCTGGAGACTACTTGGGATCATTACACAGGCATACAGCACCGCAGCGCAGGGTTAGACAACTCAGTCAGTTTGATCAGTAACAACTGAAGAACAGAGAGCTGGAACGCCATAAAAAGGCAGGGAGAGTGAAGTTTAAAATCACATGAGGCAAAGGGTGGGGTTTTGGTGTTGTGGAGATTTATTGTACTCAGTGTAACCTTTATACAGTAATCTCCCTGGACACTGGCAGCTCAAAGTTGCCAGTAGGTTCTTAGATCTTGGTTCATCTGCAACGAGAAACAAATCCAGTGGTGCATCTGGTGTTAGAACGCTGTGTGTGTGAACAAGGTTAACAGCTCAAAAATAGTTTGTGTGCATCTTTTATAAACAGGAAAACTCAGTACAGATTTCACATTACATCATGCAGTCCAAATGATTCAGATGTGCATTCACTGATATATAGTTTTTAATGTCCTCTACATTAAAACCATCTCCCTAATAATTAATCCCTGCAGTTCCTTCCCCGTATGCAACTGCTTGTCTCTCTTTTGTGTGTGTATTAGTGACTTATTCTGCGATGGTCTTACCTCCCATAGTAAGATATGTTTAACTGAATTTTAGTACCACATTACTGTCATAATATCAACAGGTGCTCCAGTAATAACAAAACATAAGTGGTTCTTTGGATTCATGTATTTTAATGACTACAAAAGAATATTCTCTGTACAAAAAATATGTAGAAGACGGGCAGTGTTATAAGGTGCGGCCTTATAACATTAAAACTGTACAAGAATAAATACAATAAGAAAGAATACATGGGTTGAATTTTATATAACTGATCCAAATGTAGTATGGTGTAAATGTTCATTCAGAAAGTGTTTAAATTTTACAGATGGTGAGTCTTAATTATGCAGCCTCTGTTGAATTTAAAACTTATTCATGTTTGCAGTAATAACCACTCTGAGCAGAATGAGTAAAAAAGGAACAACATATTACAAGAAGCCTGAGAATAAGAGTCAGCAGATGATACAAAGTCGATCTAGTGAAATGACTCAATAATAGATCCATAGCGTTATTTAATAGATTAGCCAACTATTAACTAATGTGAAACAACTATGTGATAAGCTCTAACAAAGACAGTTTTTCCTTTAAGAAGTGACAGACTTGCAGGCTAGAGGCTAAAAGAATCTGCTCTAAACTTGTGTACTGTAGAAAGAAAACTCTTCACCCAGTAACCTTTAACAGGGAAATGACTGCTGAGTTGTATTCTAACTACTGTGGAGACCAAAACAAACTCTGGAAAGGAGCCAACTAAAAACAAAACGTTGTGCCACCTGCACACTGATCTTTGAGCTCTGATAGAATGGTGCTGCATCAGCATTTGTAATTCCATATAGGAATAGACATGTTATTTAAAGTACATGCTAATGAACGTCGTATTGTAGACTTAGTCATGGGGACAGGCAAGATATTAAGCTGAGCACCACAGGGCACCATAGCCTCTTTAAATTCAAGAGGAAAAAAACTTATTGACACATGAAAGGGGCAATATTCATCAAGTGCAATAACTAAAAAAAACTGTACAGCATTAACTATGCAGCTATAGTAAAACATAAGATCATGTGATAGCACCACAGCCCATGTGAATGGGCAGTTTTATTGGTAGTTGAAAATGGTACACATATCTTTTGGAAAAATAAATCCATACAAACACAAATGTAGTACAAAATAAATAAAAGCCAAATAAAAACACCTTGAAAGTTTAACTTGATGACAGATACAGCTGCAGTTACACTCATACTGACTAGAATGTGTTAGGAAAACTAACAACACTTCACATGCTTATAAAACATTCTGCCCACATGTGCCACACACAAACCAAGTGACTGCAAAAGAAGAGCAGAGGACTCAGCTTAACTTGTATCTGTCAGTGCAGCTGGTAAGTACTGCAGACCAAACATTTGTGGGAGTTTCCAATGTACACAGTGAACATCAGGGAGCTGGTGTCTGTGACAGGTCTTCTAAATTTAAACTGTAAGTGAGGCAAATCCAAGAGGACTCCTGGAGCCTCATGTCTCAACAAAAGATTATGGGGTTAAGTGTGGCTTTTGACTATCAGAATGGGTACTTGAGCGTTGCTACTTATTTCATTTAAATGTTCTATTTTTCTCCTTTGTTCATAAGGAATGTTATAAATTGTAAACCAACATTTACTGCAAGGCTCAAAATGCAAGGGATCATGGGAACAGTGCTGCTGTTTTCTCCAGTGGTGGACTTTGCGATCTGAAAGTCTCAACAGAAGCTGCTCTGGTGTAGAATAACCTGAACACAATGCAGGACTGACCAAAATAAGATGAACCCATTTTTTGCTGCATCCATCAGTTACATGTCCATTGGCTCTAGTCACCAATTTGCAAGGGAGTGCAGGCGGCATAGGAAGCATCATGTGTGATACTGAATCTATATCAGCTGTTGATCAAGCAGCAGCAGGTGGTACAGAATCTCTGACAAACTTTCTTATTCTTAGACTGTACAGTAACTTTTCCATTTGGATTGTGATGCAACAATCCCTGTGAAATATACAGTATAGATTTCTTACTATTTAAGTCAGTACAAAATTACAGGTGTATTGTGTGCCAATTACAAACTGTATTGAAATCAGTGCTCAAAATGTCACTGTGCTGGTCAAGTTTTCAAGTGCACCCTTAAGAAGAGCAAAGAGCCACACATCTGACCACATCTCACAGTCAATGTACATATGGTCAAAAGAGCAACAGTTCCTAAAAGAACTGGAGCTTTTTTTCCCCCATTGTGATGAATGGTCCAACATCTCAGTGCAAACACTTCATGACGGAGATCCACGGAGTAGTGAAGTTGCTCGTAAGGCAAAAAGTGACCTAATCCTTCCTGGCCACTGTGACATGTCTCCGTCAAACTGTGAACCCCATATACAGCTATCTCTGTGTTTGCCAAAACACTGAGGACATAGATACAAAACATACTGTATTCCCTAAACACCTCACTGAATCACAAAGCATGCAGACAACGTCGTCATGGTATTCAATGTAGAGGTGGATTGTACATACAAGCTGGTGTCAGTGTCTTGTATTCACAGAGGAATGGCAGCAGTTGATGGCTGCTGAACAGGCATCAAGACACGCTGCGAGCAGTGTTGTCCTGTTCTGAGGAATCTGGACGGTTGTCTGACTGGGGCGAAGTATACAGGAAGTTACAGCACACGTACAGGGGAAATGATAACAACCGGCTGTCCAGGTTCATCACCACATACTCCTGAGTGATTGAAGGGAAA